ATTCTTTAAAGACGTTGGTTCCCCACCCGCTTGGTTGCTAGTTGCCGCCATGCTACACCCCAACATGCCTTGGGTGTCTGCGTCCTCTCATACGACATGCTCTCTCGCGTACTTTCTTCTCGGCCCAAACTGTAACATCCTAACACACCCCGCCTCAACGAGAAAAAGGGGTCTCTCGCTCCACTGCTTTCGCTGGTTTTACTTGTTTCTTCTCCGGTGCTTGCTTTTCCACTTTGTTTTCGAGCGCAGTAACCGATCACCAAGGGTGACCTCAAATCTCTTGGATAGGAAGTAAATACTATGCAAATTTGATCGGCCTAACTTCTTTAATCCATGATGCCTGACTTCTAGATGGTAAACACTAAACAGGAAGGCCCAATCAAGGTGAGCCAACGGAGTATTCCTCAGCAGAGAGTCGCGCTAACTTCTCAATTTCTTTCAACGCCAGGTTCATCCTGGTTATTTCCATAAAAAGAAGCGCGCCAATAAAGTCGAGTCCATCGGTAAGCCTTCCCTACGAAGCACTTTGAATGAACACATGCTGTATACGAAAACTGCCTAGCGTAAGTTCGAGTTCAACAAACACAAGTGCATAATTTGCTCATGTAGTGGGAAAATAGGTTTTCTTCAGTGAATTTTGAACTTCCTACTTCCTTGCATATGAGAACCTAATTTATTTCATTTGCTTCACATATTTGAAAGTGACACGAAGGCACAATCCAAGATTAGTGTATTGCAACAAGCTCTCCCACGAACAGTTAGATAGCTTGCTCCGTAACACTAACGCTCCTGTCTTTTCTCCACTCAAAATGAGCGAAGCCCATGCGTTTTTGCATTTATGCACGCTCGCTCCAGTGAATGCGTTGATGTCTGCGTCTCGTTGGCCCCTATGTATCTCCCCTACGAGCCTGTTCTCCTTCCTCGTCCTGTTTTTATTGGTTTTCGAGTCTTTTGTAGCAACCTACCTTGTATACTCGTCCAACCTTCATTATGTAGAACCTTTATTTTGAGTGTATTGGGCCATTTAAGAGTAGTGTGTTGGAAAAAGCTCTCCTACGAATGAGGTAGCTTGCTCCGTAATATTGTCACTTTCTCCACTCAAGACGAGCGAGGCAAAGGCTTTTTTGCATTTATGCATGCCACCCTTGCTACTGCGTTGATGTCTGCGTCTCATTGGTCCCTATTATGTCTCGCTCACGAGCAGCTCTCTCGCATCAGCCTCCAACTGTACTGTTTTTATTGATTTTTGCGTCCTCTTAAGCAGCCTGTCTTGCACTTGCAGACTCGTCCAGCGTCCAACAAATAGGACCTTTATTCCAAGTGTTACGGGCTGTTTTTTCTGCTTTCTGTCGGCAGTACTCTTCACCCCTCTACTTTGCCCTTCGTGCGTAGAAACCACCGATCTGTGGGACCACGGAATGTGCGCGTAAATTTTTTGTTAAGCGCGACAACTCATAAAATTTTATCATCTGCTCACAAAAACTCAAAGTAATTAGCATTTTCTCTAATTTGTCTAGAAGTAGCGTTATCAGTTGTCGCTCAGGTGCCTCGGTAAGTTCGGCTGTGATGGCGCTTTCACCTCCTGGTCTATCGCCCCTGCAAGTGCAAGACTCAGCCTTTTCTACGCCGACGCCGTCCAGTGGTACTGCGGCCAACACCAGCCGCTTCACGTTTGATCATATTCCGTTCCGGAAAACGTCAGCTTCAGGTATGCGCATATTTATATTTGTTACTTATTTATTTTATTTGCATTTATATTAGTATTCTCGTGATCCGCTTTCGAGTTGCAGATGAACATGATGAAGCCGAATTGACGAGCGCATTCGACCTCCCTTCGTCATCTGGTAAAGATCCGGAACGTCTGAAGGATGTACTGATGACAGTACGACGCCACGAAGACGCGACTGCAAGCCATCCTGTTCTACAACGGAAAGAATCAGTCATACAGTCTACGCGCACTGCTGAAACTGCTCACGTTGGTGCTTTCTCAGTGTTACTTTACGAGGGTTAAAACCGTAGTCGTAACTCTGCGCATTCCCACTGCATCTCCACCCCGTCTAT